TTTTGCATTAGTGGTATTTGAATATGCTAGAGGGCATGGTAGAAAAACAGCAAGGGATAGAAGTATGTAATTTGTAAGTATGCTAACAGGGGAATAAATAACTTATTGAAGGATATCAGCCCCATTCAACAAGCTAATGAGAAAAAGTTCTTTTACCCGAATAACGGTGAAGTCTCCCTGATGTCGGACAATGGTTGCCGCCGTACCTGCCTTTACGACAAACACATCACTATCCAAGTATTCTATCAATGTCGGAAATCGTTCAATACTGAAAATAGTTCTTGAGTAACTTTCATATGATTAACCGCTACGTTATTGCTCCTTTTGAGCTAGCAAATGCTTAGGTCTTGAGATAAGCCAACAATTACCATTCGGAAAAGGGGAAGATTATACTCGAATAAATCAGTAACAATCTGCCCACCACAAACAATATTTCATTTCTTCCGTATTAACTAGCAAGGCATACTGCTGCGGTTCCTATGAAGGTCTCATGGGGACCAACACACGTGGACGACAAAATGCCAAACCTCAGCAAAGCGAACAGCAAGTTCTCTCTTTGTAAGATAGAAAATTTCGCTTTGTACCACAGATAATAAAACCTAACCGAGTAAAGTCATGTGACAAAGTCAAAATGAAATTGTAATCTTCAAAGTATAATCTGGAAACTGACCTATTGACTAGAGTTCCAGCTACAAGAGATCCTACAGGATACGAATTTCCCTCAACACCAATGACTGGATTCTCCGGTATGTAACACGTTGTCGAGATAATGTCGCCAGCCCTTAAAACCATTTTGAAATTGTCGTAATGCTTATGAAATCCTCCCAAAATTGAAAGGTGAGAGCAACTAGAAAGGAATGGCGCTTGAGAAGGCGTTCACAAAGAAAACTGCGGAAATCATAAATAGCATAAACCATAGCATAAATTCAACTAACAAGAGCACAGAATCTTTACAGAGAGAGTATGGAAAATGAAGAAAATTGTCATGATCATCAACCCACTTCATATTTTCTGTCGCCAGTATCCATCGTTTGCCTTCTGTGCCTGCTACAAGCGCTATATGAGAAGTTCTGTTTGGATCACGTCGAACTTCTAATACTCGCTCATCATACGTCTTTCCAGGTTCTGTGGGGCCTCTGAACACCGATATTAGTTTTAGATCTGCTCGAAATATTAGGAAAAATTTGTAAAGTACACAACTTTCAAAGTAATTGCAATCTTGTCGATAGAAATCTCAGGCATATTTCGAAAATGAGACTACTGCTTGTTGGAAGGCTTCTAGAGGTGGTCCCCTTACGCGAAGTCTCCCTTCATTCTATTCCTCAGACAAGTTCCCAGAATGAATCTCATCCTCACTGAAAGGCTTCTAGAACTGGGTCATCTTACGCAAGGTCTCCCTTCACTCTATTCATTTGAATGTTTTCTTCAAAAAAAAAAA